TGATCTGGGATAGTCTCCCCATCTTAAATTTCCTAATCACATCTTCAAAGTTCCTTTACTATGTAAAATAACATCTTCACAGGTTGGAGGGATTAGAATATGGGCATCTTTGGAGGGCCATTATTCTGCCTACCACACCAACATAAGCAATAAACTCAACTCTGTTTTAGAGACCCATTGTTCTAGTGATATTCTAGAGAGTTTGCATTTGGCACAATACTAAGTACTGCCTTTCAATTTTCAAGAATTAAATAATATTTCTGTATCTATGTGAGTTGAAAACATTAACATTTTGTTCCACCTTTTTCCTCCCTTGTACATCTCTTTTAAAGTTCATTTTAGAGCTAGGTGATGACATCAAAATTTTATAATGTGTATTGTCTTCCTAAAGAATGATTTTTTAGTGTTTATGTTAATATAGTAACCATATTTTTATATAGTCATTTAGATGTAAGCTTGTTTAACTGGATTTTATTATAGTCTTTTTATATTGCTTTTCTGTTTGATTTGGGGGCAGCTGAAGTGTGTCTTGAAGTCCTTCTTTTCTTTCTTTTTTTTTTCTTTTTTAAAGACAGGGTCTTGCTCTGTTACCCAGGATGGAGTGCAGTGACTTGATCTGGGCTCACTGCAGCCTTGACCTCCCAGGCTCAAGTGATCCTCCCACCTCAGCCTCCCAAGTAACTGGGACCACAGGTGTGCACCACCATGCCCGTCAATTTTTATGTATTTTTAGTAGAGATGGGGTCTCACCATGTTACTCAGGCTGGTCTTGAACTCCTGAGCTCAAGCAATCCACCCGCCTCGGCCTCCCAGAGTGCTGGGATTACAGGTGTGAACCACTGCACCTGGGCCAAGTCCTTATTGTCAATAAAGATAAGGTGATATTTTGTCTGAGCTCCTGCATGTTTGAGCATGTATGCTACATTTGCTGATGAGCAAAAACTTGGTTGGATATAGGTTTATTAGATTATAATCTCTTCTACTTTCAAGCTTTAAGCAGTACTCATTTCCTCTAGGATGTAGTGTTGCAGAATAAATATGAGCCAAGAATGATTTTTTTGTATATATATATGTACAATGGATTTATTCATACACACACACACACACACACACACACACACACACAGACACCACACAGAGACACATACATGTTTAAAAATAATCTTCAGTGTAGGGTACAAGTGTCATTCTATGCAACAATGAGCAGTGAGTTAAGATTGGCAATCAAACACACAGGTTAGGCTTTATCCAGAACTAAATTTACTATCCATAAGAAAGAATACAGAGAGGGAAACAAAACAGCACACATAGAAAGGGCTTAGTGAGAGTGTTTGGACTCCCAGGTACAGCTTACTTTGTCCTAGTAACTCCTCACTATGGAATTATATGGTCATGAGAGATTAGGTTGAGTGGAACATAACTGTCTCAGCCTAGGAATACTATCAGCCTTGGGCTTCCTTCAGATTTCATGCTTAGCTAGTTGTCTAGGTTGTGTGTGTGTGTTTGTGTATGTGTAGTTAGTCATCTTGTATTCTCAGGGGTATGTGGCTTCTTCCCAATCCCCAATGCAGTTGCATCTCATCAATACCTGATCCTCGTTCCTTGAGGGACAATCATAACAATTAAGTACAAAGATTTGATTAGATACACGGGCCTCTGCTGGATTCTCATTTATCTTGAATCTTGTATAAACATGCTTCTTATAATTCCTTTACTTAGTATTGTGTCAAGTCCTGGCTCTCTGGAACATCACAAGAACAACCTGTTTCTAAGACACAGTTGGGTTTATTGCTCATGTTAGCATGGTAGGCAGAATAATGGACCTCCAAAATTCCATATCCCAATCCTGTGAAGATGTTACTTTACATGGTGAGGGTACTTTGAAGATGTGATTAGGGACTTTGAGATGGGGAGATTATCCTTGATTATTGGATTGGGTGCAGGGTAATCACAAGGGTCCTTATAAGTAAAAGAATGAGATAAAAGAATCAGAGCCAGAGAAAAAGATGGGACTTAATGGAAGCAGAAGTCAGTAATGCAATTTTTGGCTTTGAAGGTGGAGGGAGGTACCATGAGTGAAGGAATGCAGGTGACCTCTAGAAGCCGGAAAAGGCACAGGAGGAGATATTGTATAGAGCTTCCAAAAGGAATGCAGCCCGGCTGACACCTTGAATTTTGCCCAGTGGGACCCATTTTAGACTACTGGCCTTCAGAACCATAAGAAAATAAATTTGTGTTGTCTTAACGTACAAAATTTTCCAACAGTAGTAGGAAACAAATTTACTAAAGGAGAAAGAATGGGACAGAATCTTACTAGTGTCTCAAAGGGCAGAGGGCAAGGTGGGGATATTTACTGATACCTTAAAGCCTGGCTTAAAGGCAGATATTTATTTAATGTAGGGGGGATTGATTAGGATTGGGTAAGGATCATGAAGTAATGGTTTAAGATTGGTGGACACTGTAAGGTAAGGATTTTGAAAAGAGGTGAGAAGAGGGATTCGAAGAATCTTGGCTCAAAGATGGGTTGATGCTTTCTATTGAAGAGTTGATGGGATATTCCTGAAATGAAAAATATATTTATTTGTAATTTCTGTCTTCCCATAGCAGTAAAGTTATGCTGGGGAATAATAGGGGAAGGTTGGGGAATAATAAAGTCATGTTAATGTAGACGGTAAGCTGTGTGTAGGTAAATGATTTTGGTTCTCAGTTTTAAGGAGAATATGACTCAAGGTCAAATTTTCAGGTGTCCCCGAGGCTAGAGAAAGGCCATATAATTATCTGGTAATCTTTTCTTTTCTTGTCTCTTTTTCTTTTTCCTTGCAATTCAACTATTTCAGTAGAGTACAAATAGGTTTTAGTCTACTCCTATTCAGATGTTGGGATTTGTACTTACTTTAGGACATTCTTGTTCCCTTGTGTAATAGTTGTCTATTGCTTCAGTAACAAATTACTAAAAATGTAGTAGCTTCAACAGGAACAGGTCCTTTTTAAAAAAAAAAATTGTACAGCTTTTTAGGTTAGAAGTTTGACATGAATCCCACTGGGCAAAGACCAGGGTTTTGGGGTTGCATTTCTTCTGGAGGCTCTGCGGGCAGAATGCGTTTCCTTTCCTTTTCCAGATTCTAGAGGCCACCTGCATTCCTTGGCTGATGATGCCTTTCTCCATCTTCAAAGCCAGCAAGGGAAGACTGAGGTCTTACGGGGCCAGCAATGGTTCTCTGCAGCCAGGAAAGGGTCTCTGTTTTTAATCATGTTGTGATTAGATTGGCCCTAACTGGATAGTGCAGGATGACCTCCCCATTTCAAGTGGACCCTTAATCTAAGCATGTCTGCAAAGTCCCTTTCACCATGTAAGGTATCCTACCAAAGGTTCTGAAGGTGAAAACATGAACATCTTTGGGGGCCACTATTCTTACCATCTGTAGTAAATTCTTTTCACGTGTAAATACTTCCTCTACCTTTTGAAGACACTACATCCCTTTCCATATATTTTACGTATTTGTCAATATATTTACATATTCATTTTATTAAAAAATTCATAAGTTTTTTTGTTTCATTTACCTAGCAGGCTAGTTATTTGTCAAGAAACAAGGTGGGTGGTTTCTCCTTGGACCTCTTAATACCTACTTGATTGTGGAAAAAACTTTCTAAATTTTAAGCTGGGAGGATAATTTTTGGGCAGTGGTATTCTTGTGCTGCACAGGGGCAGTGTTTCCCTCTGGTTACTGAAGTCTCCACTGTTGGGGGATGCAGTGCGGGTGGGGGAAAATCTCTTAGCCTCTTTATGACTGGTGCCCCTGTTTTGATTAGGGAGAATTTCTTCAGAATTCTTAAAGATTGTTAACCAGGGGCTGGACGTGGTGGCTCATGCCTGTAATCCCAGCACTTTGAGAGGCCAAGCGGGGCAGATCACCTGAGGTCAGGAGTTTGAGACCAGCCTGGCCAATACGGCAAACCTCCCCCCTCTACTAAAAGTACAAAAATTAACTGGGTGTGGTAGTGGGTGCCTGTAATCCCAGCTACTCGGGAGCTGAGGCAGGAGAATCGCTTGAACCTGGGAGGTGGAGGTTGCAATAATCCGAGATCATACCACTGCACTCCAGCCTGGGCAACACAGTGAGACTCTGTCTCAAAAAAAAAAAAAAAAAAAAAAAAAAAGATTGTTAACCAGGTGTCCTAATTTCAATGGCTATTCCATTTTTGTATTTGTTTTTTAAATGAGTATTGAAATGGGGAGGTATGGTAGGAAAATCTGTTGCTATTTGTTACTTGTTCTTTTAGCTTAGCAGTCCACCTGGATTAATCACGTCTATTATTTTTTCAATGTGCTCACAATTCTCCCTATTACTTGGCCTTGTGATACTATGTGCTGTTGAAGTTTTCTGTCTCATTCTCTCCAGTGTTCTGGGTGTGTTCTATTTTCATGATAACCACATTATTTTATTTTATTTTAAAGAAAGCATGCTTAGATTTGTCTCTTTTCTTTTTACATTGATTGCTATTTTTTTATTTGTACAAATTTATGGTTACATGTGAAGTTTTGTTACATGCATAGATTGAGTAAAGTTGGTCAAGCCAGCACTTTCAGGGTACCATCACCCAAATAACGTACATTGTACCCGTTACCACACTTCTCATAATCCTCCTCCACCCCCTCCCTGACCCTTCTGAGTTTCCATTTTCTATCATTTCCTTGTATGCCACAGTGATAGGAAGAGGACTTTATGCCCCTGCCCGCCTCCCTCTTGCTTTCAGTGCAACTTGAAAACAGATCTTCTATTATGCCAAAACATGCAGGTAGGATGCTTCCTGCTCAGTCTCACTGAGCTTCTCCTAGACAGTAGAAATAGCCCCCTTTTAATTACTCAAGGCCCAATACATAAAGGACAGATTAGATTAACAACAACACTTTTAAACTATATGTAAGCCATTGTTGTTTTCTATTACTGTTGTTATAAAAAACATTGATAATATACATGCCTGCTTTATTTCTGCTCCAGACTCATCTTGACATCCTGGAAAAGAGTGTCAACCTCAAAGAGGTCTACTTCCGGCAAGATGTTCTCTGCCAGACGTTGGGAGGGAATCCGTGTCCCTTGGTGACCATCACGGCCATGCCTGAGTCCAACAGTGATGAGCATCTAGAGCAGTTCCGTGAGTAAAATGGGATCCTCTTCATGGAAGATTTGACTAAGGGTGTCCTTTATAGTCTTGGAAGCATTCTGTCTCTTTTAGATCAAAATCTCCATAAAGGGTTGGAGACTGTCTGTCTTTGTAGAAATACACCCCCGACTTTTATTGGTGTGACACATAGGTTAAACATTAATGTTGCTCTGTTGTTAAAGAGAGAGAAAATGAAATGAATTCGAACTGTCAGGGAGATGAAATGACAGTTTGCTAATGATGGTCACTTTCTCTCTTAAAATAGAACCAGGACTCTGAATCATATTTTCCAACTTCTAATCCAGGGACTTTTCTCACTATGCTCACTGCTGTTATGTGACTCTCATTCAGTCAAAGTTTGGAAAGAAAGAAAGTTGAGTTTTTAAGCCCTGGCTAAAGAATCCCCTTGATGACCTGAATACCATTTGTATCTGCAGGTATTTGTATCTGAAGATGTGGACAGGCTCTAGCTAAGAACTTTGAAACAAAGTTGAAGCCAAACTCATGCACACACATGCAGACACACACAAATATACACATATGGACACATACACAAACACATAGACACACGTAGACACAGACATGTACACAGACACACGCACATGCATGTCTTTAAATGTTGGGCTCCTGTGCTAAGTGCATATGTGTGACTGACCTGTTACCAACTAGCTTTTGAAAATGACTTCTAACATCGTTTCAGAACTTAGGTAGGAAAAAAACAAAAAACAAAAAACAAACAAACAAAAAAACCCAAAGAATGAAGAATGTTTTGTGATACAGAGAAGTTTTGAAGATTAAAGAAGAGACTGGGCACCCAGCTTAATTTATCCCCAGAAGATACAGCCTTCCCTGGTGAATATACAGCCTTCCCTGAGGAAGATACAACCTCCCCTGGTGAAGATACAGCCTTCCTGGTGAAGATACAGCCTTCTCTGAGGAAGATACAGCCTTCCCTGATGAAGGTACAGCCTTCCCTGATGAAGATACAGCCTTTTCTGGTGAAGATACAGCCTTCCTGGTGAAGATACCGCCTTCCCTGATGAATTGCTAGCCTCATTCAGGTGACTCTTTGGTGGGTCAGAATTATATTTTCTCACACCCCATCAGCATCTGACAATGGATACTCAACTACCTGGCAAATCAACAACCGATTAACCCATCTGGATTAATGAGGCCCTAAAATGCTTTAATGAATAATAAGGGATTTTCCAAAAATTATTTTCTGTATTTTATGCATTTAAGAGCAATTTCCATAACAGTCATAGGGTCCCCGCCTCGGCAGATGAGCAGTGCTTGGGAGCTGGAGACAACAGTCCTCCCAGGGTAACTTTCATTGAACCATTATTTACTTAAGAAAGTGGATGTGTGTAAGTCTGAGCTTCTTTTTCTACAAAAGAGGTGAGCAGAACTCTGATGTATCATTATGACATAGAAGTGCCTCCATTTTTGTATTTTGTGCTGACATTGGTGTTTTTGTTGCTGTTATAAATATGGAGAGTACTCTTACTTTAAGAAGAGGACTTGAAACATGCAAAAGCACTTAAATACTCTGGCACTCCAACAAATAGTTCTGTTGAAAAAAGAGAGAGAAAGAGAAAAAATATCTCTTAGTACACCCTTATATGAATCAAAAGAGGCTGGTTTCTGCTTGCTCTGTAAGATGGGTTATAGTAAGTGTACACTCTTATGATCATAACAGGTTTTTTTTCTTTTCAACACATGCTAACATATCCGATGTTAATCTCAAGAAGTATCAGATAAATGCTATGTATTTTCTTTTTGTCACTTGCAAATGACAATCATTGAGCTAGATCCTGAGGAAACCAGGCTTTGACCTAGAGGAAAGGGCTAGTTAGGGCCATCTTCATAGGTGTGTCACCTATACCTTTGCAGAGGTCTCCTGCTTAGAAGGGCCATGAACTCTGCTTAATGCTTTTCTGTCACTATCTTTATAAAATTCTTTATAAAGTTTTGAAGAAGGGGCCCTACCTTTCCATTTTTCGCTGGGCCCTGCAAATTGCATAGCTGGTCCTGGATGTGATCTAAAGTCATAAAGGTAGAAAGTGGCAAAGGCCGGTGCCTTTCTGATACTACTCTTCTCTCTTTCCACATTATGCAAGAAGAGTTTTAAGTTTTATCCTATTTTTCCCACTCACTGAAAATATTATTTGTATGGATTATGTAGCTGATTGGTATCTTTCATCATGGGGATTAATTTCTGGACCCCTTATTTTGCAGATGGGGTAAGTGGAGCTCAGAAAGGTTAAACACTATGATCAGTAGAGGTGACAGATTTCCAACATTGTTATTCTGATTCCAGAGTCCACACACACAACAAATGTGCTGACCCCTTCGTTATACACATGTTCAGCATCAACATTTTGGCTTCACTCTTGGAGCCATAACTTCCTCTCTTCCTCATTCTGTCCTCAAATTATTAGACACTAGCTGAGTTGTTAAAGCATTTATGCTGAATTGACCACAAGTAAGTGTATTACTCTCTTCTTGCTCACAACGAATTTTATGTTCCTTTCCTAACCCAATGGAAGCATTTTCATGGTGGATGCTTCAGATACTGTGGCAGGAAGGGAGAAAGAACACTCTTTCTGCCTGAAGGCCTTTCTTCAGACCGGTCAGATCCCAGCACAGAGCTGAGACTGCATGACCTGAGCCACAGTGCTGGGGCACAGTTTCAGCAGGGCTACATAATTAAAAAGTGTACAAGGTAGGGGTGTGTGTGTGTGTGTGTGTGTGTATAGTTATATAAAGTTACTTTATATATATAACTATATATAGACTATATATAGTATCTATATACAGTAACTATATATATGAATATATTCTTATATATATATATGAATATATAAACACATGCCATTGCTGTGTTTCCAAAAGAAAAATTAAAAAAAAATACTCAGCCCAGTATAAATACTACCTACCCTTCAAAGTGCAACTAACCATGCCTGTAAATCAGAAATGGAACTACTTAATTTCCTTTGAACTACAAAATGTGATGTATTGATTTAGAAGGAGAAAACAGCAAATGAGCCTGCAGCTCAAGATTCTCCTGCCTCCAGGCCTCCCTTCAGGTGAGATTAAATTGTTTTACCTGCTTCCTGCCTCTCAGGGACTAAGGTAGCTTCAGTGTGGGATTGTATTTAGTTGCAATTTAGCTAGTTTCTGGTTCAGTAGCTGCCACTAACCCCTCATAAGGAGGTATGAGTGGAAAGAAAGGTTTTCTCTCCATTGTGTGGGATTATTACTTGAGTCTTACTTTACCATCCCAGGAAATAAGACCATGGCTATGGAACTCTGGGGGAACTCCCCTCTCAAGGCTGGTTGCCTTGATGATCTGGTTTAAAGTCCTGGACCTGAATATTATTGAGGACAACTTACTGATTACTTTTAGTTCCTCCCAGTGTCTGAGCTCCAGAAAGTCTTCCAAAAGTATTGGTTTGATTTATTTTACAAAAGCATTTTCTTTTTAAAAAGTTATATTCCTGGAAACATTTAGCCTTACCTTCTTGATAATATATTTTCAGTTGAGTTGTCACCAGATTTGCCAGCTGTGTACTTTATCACTATTTGGAGAATTGAGGACAGTCCCTTCTTGAAATGCTCCCAATAAAGAAGACTTACTACTTTACACCTTGATATTTGAGCCCTCAGAGCCAAACTGCTGGCAGGTCTTCAAGAGCAAAATCACTCTCTGCCCTTTTCAGTGGGACGGTGAACAGGGAAGTTCTCTGGGAGATTGTCACTGAAGTCATTGTGGAAGAGGAGGGCTTAAGGAGAAATTGACGATAGCAGGGAACCTTTACAAAAGGATCTACACCTCAGTCTAGCATCAGGGACTCTCAGTGATGAATAGGCATTGGGCAGTTAGAAAGTCCAGGCCCTTCCTAACTAGTAGGATTTGGGATGTTAAAGGAACCCAGGTAGGGCATTTGGATTTTGCACAGCAGAACGGGAGTGAGGAGGAACACACAGAATCCAATAAAATGGAACAGGGGCTCCAACAGGTTGGAGCAGAAGATATCCCATAAGCAGTTTGGGGATAGGCTTGGTAGGCACGATCAGTCCAGGAAATTCTTTGCAGTGCCTTCTGAGCCTAGTCTCCATTGGTTAATGGTGGTCTGGCATAATTCCACTTAGCCTACTTAAATCCTGTAACACATTATATGTGAATAGGTACTTTGATTAGCATACCCTTTGAATATGCAACTTCCAGGTAGATTTGAGAAGTTTTCTATCTTTAGTTTGTATACTCTTCCAGAATGGGATGTGTGGGTGGGTGGTGTGGTATCTCCTTTCTTGAATTTGAACTGGGAGAAGATGCTGAATTTGAGTAGAACTAGAGAACAATTCAGAATAAAGAGTCTTGGGGGGTCATTATTTTTCTAATCCCGGAAAGAAGAATTTTCCCAGACTCAGCCATTTCCCAAAAACCATGCCTGCTTTCTGCTGCTTCTCACATAGATCGAGTTGCCTTTGTGTGGAAATTCCTCTTACTAATGAGCTCTTGGCCTTCCTATACTTGTTGTCTTACCTCCATTTTGCATATGGAGTCCGTCAAACATATTTCCAGATACCCCTCTTTAGGCTTTGGTTTTACTGGACTATTACCCAGAAATGCATACAACCAGAACACACTGCTTGGTGAAGGCTGCTATCACTTTGTCAACTTCTCCATTTTCTCCACATTTCTCTCACAACCTCACATTCTAAATGACCATTTTAGCCCAGAGAAAGTCGAGTCCCATTTTAGTTTGGAGAGCTACATCTCTGATAGAAGCTTCATTTTTCTTAGAAACTTTATTGCCAAATTGGACATCTCTACATTCAGAACCTGTAACAGCATTGTCTTGACTGTACTCACGAATGATCTGAGAAAAGGAACGAATTTGTGGGAATTTTCTGAGGGAAAATGTCATTCTCCTATTAGAAACTCTCATTCTCTAAATGAATAGTCATGGACTGATTTACTGGTG